ATAATTTTATAATTATTTATAAAAATATTCATATTTTAACTAAAAAAAAAAATCAACGTTTTTAAATCAAAATACATACAATGTCAAAAGCGACATCTAGCGTTATCGAAATTTACAGCTGTGAATTTAATCGTCAGATGGATTGACGATGAAGTTTTATAGAATAATAAGGGCTGTAAAGTTATACGAAGTGACGTTTCTACAAAATATACATAATCATCCATTCTAAACTAATCTACGTTTTATTTGGAACTGATCATTATTCAGTAAGTTGAAATATTTTTTCTTATAAAAAAATTCTATGAATAAAACTGAAAGAATTCAATTAAAATTTAAATAAATAAAAATTTAGGGAAACTGAACGAATAACAATAAAGTAAAATCCTTTGTATAGATTTTTTCAAGTGCATTATCTCTGCGAACTATTGGCGAATGTCACTTATTGCTGTACAATTGTAACAATTATAATTAGGCAATTTGCATATACTGTATTATACAAATACGTAAACAAATTATATCTGGAAGTAGCTTCTACCTATATTTATTATATTCATAGTTAAATTTAATTGCATTAAAGCTATAAAATATACCACTTTCTGTAATCAACGATAAATACAAGGATTAATTCTATTATCAATTCATTTAAATTGATTATTTAATTTATAAAACTTTTATGATTTTNTAATTTTACATAGGTTCCAGAACCATTTATTATTTTTACGGAAGATCCCAGAATTCTGAACCGTATACAAAAACTTTTTCTTCTTAGCTAAACAAATCTTTTTAACTAAGCCACGAAATAACACAAACAATTTACGGTACGATTCTAAACCATTTTTCTTAAAAGCTCTCCAAACTCTATTTCTGTTACGAATCATTAAACGACAATTTAAATCAAACCAATTGTTAGTATTTATATAATCCTTTGGTTTTACATTCATATTATTAGCACTAGCTATCTCAACAATTAATTTACTAACATCTGATAAAGAAACAGAATCACAGTCTAACAGACACTTCTCCAACTCAAACATAAAACTATTTATAGACTCATCATTCCAAAAAATTCTTTCATGCCAGCTCCCATTATTATTCACCTTAGATTGACCAGGTTTATTCAAACATAATACCATAGGAAAGTGATCCGAAAAACAACAATTATCATCCACAGAAAAAGACTTAACACAACCCCATACAGAAAAAGTTGTTAAACCAAAATCAATAACTGAAGAACCCAAGCTGGACACAAATGTATATTCCCCAGCTTCATCGCCAGACGTTCTACCATTTAATATTAATAAATTTTTATCTGCACAAAATTGAAGCATCTTTCTCCCTCTGCTGTTTATAATCACATCTTTAGATTTCCTTTTCCTTTTAACCAAATCAATATCATAAACATTACCAATGTAGTCAGGAATAACATTTCCCTCACCCATCCGAGCATTAAAATCACCCAAAATAATTAAATTTAAATCTTCATTGAAATCAAAATTATTTAGTGTCTCAAATATTTCCTGCCAACTATGTTCTTGCATATATACAAAACATAACAAAAATTCTCCCACAGGGAATATAATATTAATCAAAACCAGAAAATCATCTTTATAAAGTACTTTATAACAAAAGCAAATTTTTATAAATAGCAACCATCCAGCCTTAAATCTACAAGCCTTAAACCCCTACAACCATCTCTAAAAGCATTACCAATAATACAATTATAATCCGATAAAACTTCCAGATTATTACTTTTAGAAGAATACCAGGTTTCAGACAAAAAACTAAATCAAATTGCGATGTATACCTCCAAAATGAATACGGTTTATTTTTAATACCAGCACAATTCAATATCATTATAGAGGTACACTGGGACTGTGGTTGCTATGAAGAAACAACAATAATTTTACCCGAATTCTCATCATATCCGTATTTCACTCCATCAATAAATATTTTATCATAAGTTAAACGGATTTTCTGAGCACCTTCAGATTTCTTCTGTTTTCCAAACATCCTTAACTTATACCTTATATCTCTTATTCGTTGCGAAAAGTCATCATTAACAAATACATTCAAATTACGGGACTCAAAAACAGCTTTTTTAAAAGATAATTTATCATTAAGAGACCCAAACTGACAAATTATTATTCTAGGCCTATCACCAAATTTCTTTCCAACTCTCCTAGCATCAACATATCTCAACACAGGCAAATTCAGCTTATTCATAGCAAAGAGTTTAACTGCCTCTAAAGTATCATTAGCCGATTCTCCAGCCCCTTCCTCCAAACCATGTATTATTACATTATTAATTCTTCGCTGATTATCCATGTAATCTATCTCTCGTTCCATTTTCGAGACTTTCGTACTAATATTATCAATAAGAGAAGAACTCACCGACTCCGATCCGCCCGAACCAATCCTGGCCTCAATATCCACTAATCTAACCTCAAAATCAACAAGTGCCTCATCCACATTCTTAAGCCATTCCGTAAGATGGTCGAGTCGCTTTATAAAATCCTCCACCTTGCCATTAAGAGCAGCATGCATACGTAATAATAAACGAACACCTTCCGATACATCAAAATTCGAATCTTGCAGTAATTCTGTAACCTCCTCCTCCTGACCTAAACTACTCCTTCTAGGTCTACTTGGTGTTCTCTCCGGTATAGTCGGTGAATAAGTCTTCCTCTTTCTGCCTTGAGACATAATAAAACAAGCAAACTTACCTATAAAAGAAAAAGGATTCAATTATCTTATCCAAAATGTGGATAGTCTCCCAACACTTCTTAGCCACAAGCACACTTTTAAGGAAAAAACAAATGCCACCTTTCGGCAGAAACGAATACTCCAATATGCAAAATAAACAACGATGTACGTCACTCCGTACAAGGGATCATTATATTAGTAATAAGTTCCAAAAAATTCTCCAACGGAATAATAGAAGTTCCAAACACACTTTCCCGAATTTTTTCTAACTTAGAGCATTTAGCAATCACGTGAAAAGCATCCAATATCTGATCATCCTTACAATACATGCAAATTTCTCTGCGATAATTCTATAAAAGAAAAAGGATTCAATTATCTTATCCAAAATGTGGATAGTCTCCCCTTATATTAAATATTTCACATGTCTTAGTATAATTTGCTTCATTTATCAATATAAAATGCTAGAATATGTATATCTTTAAGGTAATCTGTTAAGTTTCTTATTTTAAAATGTATACATTTTATTTATAAGAAACATATTCTATTTATCTGTTACAGTATAGGCTCTGTCAAAATGGTATAATTTATATAATCTAATATTGTGTACATTGCAATATTAATGTAAAGATTAAATTTATATATAAACTTATATTTTTGACCTTTAAAATTTTAAGTATCAAGTAAATATTAGAGATTTATGTAAGTAATTACATTTAATTTTAATAGAAACTCATTCAGCAAACAAAAATTTTATTTATTATATTTTTGATTGAGGGATGAGTTTATTGTAATTGTGAAACTGCAAAAAATTTAAAATAATCATTCAAGGAATTTTTAGATAGATATATTTTTGAATTACCAGTACTTTTTGTTTTTCTAAATCTTTTATCTCTACAACTGATTTTTTATTCAGTCGTTGTAAATATTGGAGAAATAAATATGCTAGACAATTTTAAGGAGTCCAGTTTAATGTGATTCAAATATTTTTTGAGACAATTGGTCTCATCTTCAGATCGAACAGAATTTTTTTGATATGAATTCAACTTCTTACTCTATAGTTCAATATTATTTTTAAGTATTCAAACTCATTCAAGAGCTATTTTTGAATATTTAAGTATGGCACAGATGATCGAGAGCATCCTGATGGGCCTAATAATTTTTGAACGAAGCAACATTAGTGCTGTTATGAGACATCTCAATATATGATGTATATAACCCAAAATATATCATCATTACAAATTAACATAATAAAATAAAATGTTTTTAAGTTCAGCTGAGTAAAGAGATTACAGTCCTAATGTTGATTTCCTGAGTTAATTAATCATAACCATGGGTCTAAGTTTAAACTGGACCTTTTAAATTAATATTGTCTAGTGTATTTATTTCTCTGATTACACATGAAGTCATCTTATTTATGTAAGTATTGTTATAAATATGATGATATTTAAAATATTTGTAGTTTGTTTCAAATAATAATAATTAATTTAAATGAAGACAAATTAGTAAGCTTGAAAACATGCATTTAAATTCATGAAATTGTCAAATTTGATTTTATTGATTCATATATAAATACCTTAAAGACCAACAATCATATCAAATCCAAATGATTACTGGATTAAATCAGGCTATTATTAGTAGCAGTAATGTAGATTGACTTAATCTGGTAATCGTTTGGCTTTTATTGATTCATTATTTTATATAATTCTAACAATGTCTTTCTCTTTTTGTATATCATTGAAATTATATTAATTCTATTTTACATATTAAAATGTAAAATGAATAATACCGAATTAAGGAAGCATAACAAAATAAATATTAATTGAAGTTGTTTTTTAGTTTCTACATATGTAATAAAAAGTTTAATGTTGACAAAAACACAAAAAAATTTCCTATTTGTCTTCGGATAATACGTCCAGACACTCCTGTTGTGGTGTAAAGTTAAAAGCAGTGACTTTTGGATTTGGAAAAAAAAAAACATATTAATTTAATTATATATAAAAAGCAGGGCCGTGCCGTGCTATGATGCAGAGATGCGGCCGCATCAGGCGGCACTGTGAGGGGGCGGCATAAAAAACATTTAAGAGGTAGAATTTCAGAGACTTGCATCATACTTAGAAAATCTACCGCACAGCCCAGATAAAAAGCATTTTAAAATTAACATCCTGTTAATTTTCACATATGATATATGGAACAGAAATTTTGTCTGTTAAATAGAGGTCCTTTAAATTGAGATTTTACTGTACTATTATATTTATTATTATATTTGCAAATTATATGAAAAACAGAATGTAAATGCTTTTTCAATGTTATTTAATGTTAATGAAATTTACTACTGCTAATTTAGCTATAATTAGCAGTAGTAAATTTCAGTAAGTAAGTTTAAATTAAGTGAATAGTTAAAGTCCATTCTGAACAGACTTTGTTCATAATTATTACTATTAACAGATGATTCTGCCTGCATTAGACACATACACACTTCCAATTTCTAATATTCATTTAGACTTTAGTCTTAGTGTACTGCAAAATTTGATAGTTTTGTAATGAAGCATTCAATGCCTCTTAGTAAATAATTACGGTTACACACGCACATAATTTATGAATAAGATGTAAAATACTTTCAACATTAAATTAAAACTAAAATACAGTACTGAGTTATACTTTAGTGTATTCATGATTGAAATAAAGATCCATTAAAATATTAAAATGCCTTTGTTTATATATGATTCTTTATTTATAGATTATGCATAGAGCTTAAAAGTTTTAAAAAATAACAATAACTTGTTAAAAGTTATTGTTATTTTTTGAAAATTATATAATTCAGAAAAATATTTTTTAAGAGAAATTATTTATTTCTATAATATCTATCTCATTATTAGTTTTCATCAAAAAGACTTATAATAATAATATTAATGCTCCAAAGAAAAGCTCAATGATAATTTAATACAAAACAAATTTTTATTAGCTTTTTGTTTCTGATTAATAAATAAATTATTTTTAGACTGCAGTAGAATAAAATTAAAAAATGTTTGTTTACTTTATTTGTAATTTGTTAAAGTTATTAAAGTAACTTAGTTTCTTTCAGGTCTGTCACAATTCAGTTTGTAGTTGAAAAAATAGCTTGTTCTATATTGGCTATACAGGGTGTCCACAAAATAAGATTACATCTTCAATATTCTATTAAAAGAAATACATGTGTAAAGAACTTTTATTTTGATTATTAAAAGATCTATCAAGTGTTAAAGTTTTTTAACTGATATGATACATGGCGCTGAATGTCTTGTAGAAGGAAAAACATTCTTAAATGTAAAAAGAAACAAAAAATGGCTATGCCACAAGAAAAAACAGTGCGTGTTTTTTGGTTTGCAGAATCAAAATCATTAACAACAGTTCAGTGTAAGTTCCAAACAGAATACAAGAAACAGCAACTGTCACAAGAAAGCATTGATAAATGGGTAACAAAATTCAAATCAGCAGGAAGTGTGCTGACAGCAGAAGACATCACATCCTGCAATTTTTTCCTTTGGGGATTCATTAATGATATTATTTATAAGAACAAGGTAACATCACTTATTGAACTCAGAAAATGCATTAGTGAAACCTTCATCTTTGTTACACTGGAAATTCTTAGATGTACTTGGATTGAATTGGACTATTGTCTTGATATCCTGCAAGCACCCAAGAGAGCACATGTAAAGATTTATTGATGCTTATTATAAAACTTTCATATGTATTATGTTCTTTATATTTTTAACATTATAAGTAAGTTGTTATTTCATGTTTTGTTTTTGTAATAGAGTATAAAAGTTGTATACTTATTTTGTGGACACCCTATATTTTTCTTATGCAAAATTCAAATAACTTTGTAAACTTTAGCATTCATAATTCATAAATTTGAATTTAGTATTTTATTTATAAGCATTAAATAAAAATTAAAACAGATCAACTTCCATTTAAATTTGTGTAATGTAAAAAGCATATGGAAAATTTAAGCTTCTCACTTGACTACCAAATAGTTTTAGTATTTTGAATATTTATTATATAACATTTAATATTTTATATAATATATCATTTTATATTTACTACATATTTTGCCTGATTTGTTTATTTATTTGAATGATTGAAAATAATAGTAAGAATACTATGACTGTTTCTTTTTCCAAAGTTAATTTATTCTAAAGTGAATTTTTTACTTTTGTACACTTTTTCAATAAAATTAACCAATTAGAATTCATTATTGTAAATAATAAACAAAAGTTGTAAAAAGTAATATATTTGTTCATAAGGCAGGAGTATTTTAATATGTTATTTTGATAAATAAAAAAAAATTACAGTATTCAATCATTCATAAAATCTAAATAGGAACAAACATATTTAGGCTATTTAATATATAAATATAAATAGTTTGCATAATTTAATTTTAGTTAGTATAATTTACTTTAAAATTTATAAATGACACACAATTAAATTAATTTGTGTAAAGGATCTGCTGAATTATTTTTCTTTTAGAAATTATAATGGCTAGTCTATCAAAAAGAAGAAACGAGATATCAAAACAATTCCAACAGGAAGCATGGAAACCAAATGCCAATGTACTGAGGTATCATAGTGCTAATATAAATGATGATGATGTGTATCAGGTAAGTGTGTTTGTAATATTGTAAAAGTCATTAATATATTTTATATAATTATTACTGAAATCTTGTTGAATCAAACTTCAAGACAGTAAAAAAAATCCTGACTGAGTTAGTTTTGAGTTCACCAGTTTAATACTCAATTTTTCTCAAATATTTTTTCTGTGTCCATAAATTTCCCATTAAGCTGTTCCTCAAGAATCTGTTTTATATAGAATGGCTACACATTGAATACAGTTTATAGTGCTTTTGAGTGTGTTGTCAAGGCACTTCCTTGTATCCTAATTAGAATGCTAGTAACATATATCAGTGAAAGGATATCAACACAAGGTTGTAATGACATGTTGTGTTTGGCATGGAACTGTACTGTTCATCTTAATTATCTATATTCACATGGAACATAAGAGAAAATGAAGTTCATGGATCTGTTAGTGTGGAGGGTACATAGGAAAGTAGATTAAACCTAAAAGTACTAACAATTTCAATTTAACAGAACTGTGTTATGAGGAAAACTAATATACTGTGCTAGAACCAGTAGACAAAGTTAACATAGTTTAACTTAGAGAAGTTTTACTGTATAGGTAAAATACATGCAAAAATTGTTTAGAACTATAGATCTGTATGATTGATGAAGTTTTACAGTATTGATAAATTATTTATAAAATGATTTGTGATTATACGGTGGAACCTCGGTATATGACCTTAATCCGTTTCCGATGTTTGGACTTATACCGAATTGGATGTATACCGAACCAACCTTTCCCATAAGAAGTAATGTAAAAATGATTAATCCGTTCTCATGTAAAAAAAATGGCTGGCTTTAAACACCTTGCTTTCTTGGCTAGTTTCTGCTTGATTTTTCATGAGATCAGCATATATCTTTTTAGCTTTCTTGCAAATAATTGCTTCTGATACGATGTTGCCAGCACACGTTTTTCAGTTATCCAAAGCAAAAGCAATTTCTCGACATGATCTAACGTCTTCGATCTCTGTTTAGAAATTGATTTAACCCCTTTCGCAACGTTAGCAGATTTAATAATGTCTTTATTTTTCATGATTGTTGATATCGTTGTTCTCGGAATACGGTATGCAACAGTTAAAATCTCGAACACGCGTGCCACTTTCATATTTCTCAACAATCTCTTTTTTTCAGTTCCATTGTGATTCTAGTTATTTTTTTAGTTTTATGTCACTTTTCATTTGTCTTTTTGCGATTCATGACTCATAAAAATAATAAAATTTTACATACAAATTAAAACCAGAAGAAATTTAACCATGTTTATAAACCATTGCACCGTGAACGTCTAGTCTGGTCTAGTACACCGATAGTGCTACTTGTTTGTAGATGGTGCGTATAATTGAATTAAGTCGTATACTGAACAAAAGTTGTATACTGAGCAAAATTTATTTCGTTCAAACAGGATGTATTCCAAATTGGACGTATTCTAAAGCAGACATATACCGAGGTACCACTGTATATTAAAACATGTTTTATTTTTAAGAGTTAATATTTCTGAGTTAAAGAATATTATTCTGTAGATTTTTCTAAAAATTTCTGAAATTAAAAAATAATAATGATTTTATTGTAAATATTTGAAAGAAACTTTAAATTTTAAATCAAATGTTGATATTTTTTACAAAATTACACTACTTTAGTGACTATAAAATCAATGACCAGAATGATATTAAATACTAAACATATTTTAATTTGGTTTTAAAAGAATTGCACTATATAATAATAATCAAATATAATATGAGTTTTCTTAAATAAAAGCAAAATGAGATTTTTTAATTTTCTTATGTCAGAGCCCAGATTTTATTTTGACTATAAACTTTTACATAATTATATAAACCCAAGAAAATTAACATTTAAAATTTATATTAAAACTCAAGCATCGACACACAAAAGCCTTTATAATGCAGCCTTTTAATTCAAAATTTGCTAATGTTTTCGGCCATTTTGAAAGGCCTTTGTCAAGAACAGAACAATTGAATGATTCTGATTTCAAAACCAATATTTGTTCTGAAGCTTTTTGAATTTTCTTACATGTCTAGTGCACAGGCTCGTATATAAATAATTACACACTATATTGGTACTTGTACCAATATACACAAAAAATATAAATAAATATAATACATTAATAAATAACTATCTAAAATAAAATAAAATAAAAATAAAAGTAAATAAATGTGTAAATAAATACAGACAAATACATAAAACCATTGCTAATATAGAGAAGAACACCATAGTGCCTGCTTCTTTAACTGCTTGTCCCTTTATTTTATAATAGAATATTCAAATTATCCTCGCTTTTCAAGCTGCTGAGATTTTACTGGACACTCTAAAATTTATTGTTAATCCTTCCTGGTATGTCTTATATATCTGCCATAATTCTGCATATTTCAAGTGCCTCTTGTCTTGGATCTTTTGTGTTATTTTAGTCCTTTCCCAATCCACAGTGACTTCCGTCGGGTCTGCTATAACGTACATTGCTAGTGCAGTGACTGATTGTTCCTTCTGCACGTTCCTTTCATGCTCTTTTAGTCTTTCTTTAAAGATCTCCCTGTGGCTTTTATGTAACTATAGCTCTTTTTGCCACCTTTCATCTTGTACTCTTATTCTATATATTCCTGGAATCAAGCTCTGGTCTATGTCTTCCTTGTCTGTGCATAGCATTTGGTATACTGTGGGATTCCTTTTAAAAATTATCTTTTTGTTTGTTGCTGCTCCTATTTCTTTGTAAATATTGCTTAGAGGTGCCATATATTCCATTACAGTGTATTCTTTTCTGCTCATTACCTTCTTTATCATCTATTTTTGTTTTGTTAATAATGACCTTTATCGTATTCTGGTAGATACTGCATTGCCTAGCTAGTTCTTTGATGTGATCTAATTCTTTAATTCTGTCTTGTGGTTTGCTGCAGTGTGTGTAAGCTCTCTTTATAAGTGCCCGGAATGCTGCTATTTTATAGCTTGCCAGGTCGTGGGATAAACAGCAGGTTATATGCCACCTTTCTGTAAACTTTTGTGGCAATTTCCCCCTCTTTTCTCTACTTCTATTGATAAGTCTAGAAAATGCATACTTTTGTCGTTCTTTTGTTCTATATTGAGCTCTAGGCTGAATTTGTTGGAATTAACGTCATTCATTAAGACCATGTCCTTTGATTTGTCAGCTCTTGTAAGTACAATATTATTGCGATTCATCTGTTTTTTTACTTTCTCTTATATTTTTCCATACTGTGCTATGGCCTGTTCTGGTATATTTATCCTTTATTTTAAATGCCATTTTTCATCTGTATACCTTTTTCTTAATTTTGCTTAGCCCTTCCAATGCTTGTTCTACATCAGAGATGATCTTTTCGTACTTAAAATTAACATTTAAAATTTATATTAAATGCAAAGAAAACTATATAAAAATTTTTCCAACAATTAATAAAAAGATGGAAGGATATGATTGCGTTTTCCATCGGATTCACTTCCTTTAGGTGACACATCTTCTGAACGTGTCACCCGGAACATCTGGAACCAGCGAAATTCATCTATTGGCCATGACCTATAACATTTCTAAAAAAGGGCAATAGGAGAAAACAAAAAAGACCTCCCCAATAAAAAGGAGGGACTGATGACGATCGGGGTCCGTCGTCACTGAAAGTTTGCCCTTGCCAGAGTTACCCCAATACTCAGATACCTCCGTGATGTGATCTTTCTCCATTCAAATGAACTCTATTTAAGTGAACTCCATCAATCCATGCATTACAAGGTGTCTATGTAACTTATATATAAGCTCTCTCTCTCTCTCTCTCTCTCTCTTCAGACAAGAACTTGTGAGGAAGCTTTAAATATGAGATATTAACCTTGTATAAATTGTGGTAGTTTACAGTAAATAAATGGATAATTGTTTTTGTTTAATTTGTGTTTGGTGCACTTCCTTAAAACACATTGTCTCTCATGTCGCCTCCATGTAGATCCAACCATCCTTAATACATGACCACTTGCGTAAGAATGCAATCGCTATCATAATTTCTATGTCGTTTTTGACATAGTGGTGTCATCCTGACATGGCATTGTGACGTGGTGTGGACCCTGCAGTCACACTTATTTTTATAATTGTTTGATTACAGATCAAAGTTATAGCAATTGAATTTATATAATGGCCAATTGTAACAGGATATGTAAGCCAGTTTTTAAACTATCATTGGATTTAATAAATATTTTCAATTTATAACTGATTTTTAGTTAAATTATTGTTCATTAAAATATATTTGCTAGTTATTTTTTTCCATAAGAACAAACTTTATCATATATTTTTCTAATACAGTAGAGCATTGATTATCTGAATCAATTGGGGACTGGGGTTGTTCGGAAAATTGATATTTCGGATAACCGATTGTGTACGAAAAAATATATTAACCTATCCCATGTTGAAATTTTTCTCCGTTGTGTGTCGCTTCGTGTTGAATTTTCGTCGATGTTAAGCCTAACGAAGACTATTGTATTGTTAAAAATTATTTTTTTATTTTGTACAAACAAAATAAATATGTTGAAAAATATAAAAATAATAAAAAATTATACTTCAGAAGTTAATTTAGTATCAAAAACGTAAAATATTTGAGTAGCCCAAGACATAGCCAAAGATTGCAG